ATCAATTGAATGCACCCATGCTGAATAAAAGTATTATTTTCTATTTAAAAAATCTTACTGACCCAACTTCTAAATGGTATGTATGTATAGAAAATTTCATTAATTTATTCAGTAATATAAAAACACATACCTTCAACACAACCTCTGGTCTCCCTAGAGGCCGAATGAGAGCTCCACAAGCAATCATGTTGAAGCTGAGGCCTCCGAGGACAAGCAAAGCTCCACGCCAAGCATAGACCTCTACTAGATACTGAAAAAGTGGGGAGAAGGCGAAAGAGGCAAGACCGACTCCTGTGAAGCCCAGGCCCATGGCTAGAGATCTCCGCACGGTAAAGTACTGCATTACTGATGCAACTGTAGGGGTGAAGACCAGCGCCCAGCCTAAACCTGACAGACATAAACATTGAGATTAAAAATAGAATCAGGATCCTGACATTGGTTAGTATTAAAGACACTCTTTACAAGAGCATCTACCTGAAATTAATCCCATGGTCAGGTAAAGATGTAAAAGAGACGTTGCCTGGGAAGCCAGAATGAATCCCAGGCCTGAAAGGAATCCTCCCATCATAACTACTGGACGAGTTCCATACACATTAGATGCGGCTGCACCTATTGGACCTGCAGGCAAGCATATATAATCAACTGAATGCTGAAAGCCAAAGTGTGTTGTTTTACTATATTGTGTTTGTTGATATAGACAAGAACAAATGAATGAGTAAACTTACTCATTAGCTGTTGCATGGCCAAGCCAATGGATGTTATCCAGGACACCGCCTGGGCACTCTCACCAAAGTACTGCACAAACTCCACAAAAAAGACACCCAGACAGCGGATGAGCCCAAACACCAGGGCAGAAGACACGAAAAAAGACCCCACCACCACCCAGCCCCAACCCCCATCAGGTGCCGCCATCTGTGGGGACGACTGCTGCTCTTCCTGTGTCTTTTGGGGCTTTGCCATCATTGCACTGAAGAGACAGATTAAAGGAATAGTTCACTCAAAAATGAAAACTGACTCACCCTCAGGCCATGCAAAATGTAGATGAGTTTGTTTCTTAATGGGAACAGATTTGGAGAAATTTAGCATTACATTACTTGTTCACCAGTGGTTCCTCTGCAGTGAATGGGTGCCGTCAAAATGAGAGTACAAATAGCTGATTAACGCATCACGATAATCCACAAATAATCCACACGGTCTAAGACGATTTTTTCACTGGACTCGTAGTTAAAATGCCTTAATGATAGATTTGTTTCTTACAAACATGCAGCTTTTCACTTCACAAGACATTAATTGATGGACTGGAGTTGTATGAATTGCTTGTGGATTATTGTGATGTTTTTATCAATTTGGACAAGTGATGTATTGATACACTTCTCTAAATCTTTTCTGATGAAGAAACAAACTCATCTACATCTTGGATGGCCAAAGCGTAAGCAAATTTAAATTTTTGGTTGAACTATTCCTTCAAGAGAAGAGTGCAAGTTACATGTCCATAACCTTTAACCGTGTCATAGACGGCATTAAAACATCTTCAACCAAACAATGAAAGTAATTCGTTTTTTTTTTTTACCCAATCTACTACATAAGCCTCGGTTTCTTGACAAATAACTGGCCTTTATCATACTGTTCATGATCTCTTTAGCATTACCTTGAAAATAAACACATCTGTTCACTATGCTTCACAGTGCTGATAAACACCTACCAGTTTAAATTCTAAAACTAAGATGATTTATACTCATTTAACAGTCAGGTGTCTGTTCTTATCCAGCTTTCATTTTCTCTAGCACACACACACACACACACACACACACACACACACATACCAGTAGGTTATTTTGAAGAAGTAAAGTCTTTTAATTTAGTCCTGTAACAAAACGTTGATCATGAGTTGATCATCAGGTGGACTCTGAACAGTCATTACCAATGGTTTGACAATTTGACCCAATTAATAGCTTACTGCTCAGGTTCCGATGACCAAAGGGACATCAACAAAATGTTTTTTTTTTCTCAGAATGAGCAAACTTTAACATTAAAACATCAGTATAAACAGGATGTACTACCAACAAAATGCATTAAAACATTTGCGGTGTATAAAAATTCATTGTAAAAAATGTGTTAAAATCACATTTTGTCAGGCAGCACATATGTATATTCTTAAACCAAACCCATACACTAACACTTAACAGTGTTTTCATGCACAGACAGCTGTGTTTTAGTCTCTAACAAATTAGAAAACATATATTTACATTAAATTAATTACACATTTAATGGTAACCTAAACACCTCCATAAACAAATTCTAAACTCTATTGGTAAAGAAAAGTATTCCACAAATCAAAACTTCTCCCGTCCCATAGATATGAATGTCCTGTCCATGCAACACATCATTACATAATGTATGCGTTTACATTAATGTTTTTACAGGTGTTTATAATGTACTATAAAATTTGAAGACTTATGAAATATTGCCAGATATTAATTTGTGCTCTTGAACATTTATGATGAGAAACATTACGCAAAAGATATATTTCAAAACTACACTGAACATAATTATAAATGCAACACTTTTGTTTTTGCCCCCATTTTTCATGAGCTGAACTCAAAGATAATTATTTTAAATATTTATTTCATAGCTTGATATTAAATTTCAGTTTTAAATATCGGTCAACGGGTCTTGATCTCCGGATTTATGACAATTATTATAGGGTAATTAAAAAATGGTCACACGTAAAAATGTCCAATGCAAATCCATGGTGACTGTATGGCTTAATAAATATTAATTAAGTAACGTGACCGCATATAACATAAGCGTAAGTCTTAGTAGAAAACCATCTTGTTTCTGTGTCTCGTCATCTTGCATTGTTGATATTTAGCACACTGTTAGTGACAGAGACGCGATTTAGTCATGAATTCATGGCGTATAACTAGCAATACAAACGCGAACCGCTCGACTTGATCTTGCACACCTATTATGTTAGGATTTCCGGATATGTAGCCTACCGCACAGACACTGCCAGTAGAGAGAGGTGCTGCAATGAAACACTAAAGTATTTTAGACAAAACAGTGTGACATGAGCAGCCTAAATTTCATGTAATACACGACTCTAAAGTAGTGTAAAATAAAGCAAGCAAAATATAATCCGTTTGAAAATGCATTTGTTTCAGGTTAACGTGCCTGGAACAGATCGGTAGTTACTTACCCATAACCCGATCACCCCTTTCCTGTCAACTCATCATTAGGTCAAATCAGATAAACAGTTTATTTTTTAAATGCACTGATAATCAACACGTACTGTTACTGTTGCACATCGTCGATCGCGACTTTCTGCTTCACCTGCTTTTGACATGAGCGACTATTAATCGCTCGCTCGTGCGGGTTTAGTTTCAGCGAAGCTCCGCCTCTAGAGCGCACTCACGAGCAAGAGTAAGTTTCCATTCCTTTACAAAAATGTAACTTACTCTGGTCACTTATAAACTACGCGTGCAATGTTAGGTTAAAGTTAGACAACAATAGAGCACATTCAGCATGCTGTCAAACATTAAAACTAGTGTCATTGAAATTTAAAGTTCTCTTCTATGAGATGATAAAGACCCCCTAGCGGTAAGTTCAGTTAAATGTTATATATCAATTACAAACACTTAAAAAGCAGTTACAGTGGTTACAATATGGTTATTGTATCCTTGCTGGGGAAAAGAGGTGGTTTAGCCTTGTGGCCAGCTAAGATGAACAAAACAACTTAGACTTATTTTAAGTTTTTGTGCGTGTGTCTTAATTATTTCAGCAGCCCGTGTTTGCATACAGTATATTCTCACCAACACTTCATAGTTACGTCCGTCTTCCTGACAACCTCTGTGTATTGCTCTGGTTTCATTTAATAAAACTCTACACAAGTCAGAGATACAGTTATAGATTAAACAAAAATTTAGCTCAGCATATTAAAATAATAATAATAATAAATAAAATCTAGTTTATAATACACTTAGAAATAAACACAATATTGCTATCTATATACATATAAAGAAGTTTAACCTACTCGATGTTGATAGTTGTTTAGTTCGGTTCTGTATACAACTTTAGCATGTACGTGGCTTATATGAGACAAATGCTTTGAGCTGTGATCTATAGTTAATATTAGTTAGCCATACAATGATCTCCACATGCCACATGTTTGCCTTCGGGAGCAGATGAAAACAGGAACAGGACTAAACCTCAGAACTACATGTCAGAGAGTAGGTTCAGTGTTCGATCATCGATAAAAGAAGAAACAGCGGGTGGTGCTCCTAGGTCAAGCTAAGAGGAAAACTTCCATACAGAACTACACATTTATGGACAGACAGGTAATGTGTGCACGAGGCCAGTTTTTGTCTAAGGCCGGAAACAGGTGCCAGCTGCTCCATTGTTCTTATTCCAGCACCACCCGTAGAGAAGCTGAGACACTTTAGGGTGAGTCGAGGGGTCTGATCGGGTGAGTCGTTGTGAGCTAATCGGAGGAAGGAAGGGCTAAGAGGTGAATTCTTTGTTCTTCTGGGCTCCAAGAATCACACAGGCATTGAATTTAGATTTGAAACATTTCACTATACTTAATAAGTGCCTTGATTTACTACTTTTAGGTTTAACCAGGTCCACAATTGAGAAACTCTCACTATTCATGTGATTTTGAAGAAGTAGGATTGCATGAGAACAGCTGACCAGGGTTAACTAAAACCAAAAATATAAAGAAATACATATTTTTGTTATTTAAAATAACGTAAACATTATTTTAAAAATTGGAATAAAAACCCATAAACTTATTTTTAATCTAGTTGCCAAGGCAACATTTCTCATATTCATTGTTTAATTAAAAAAAAAAAAAAATGCTATATAAACATGTTTAAAAAAATCAACACACAACAAAATGACTAAAACTTTAACTAAAATAAAATACAAAAATAGAAATAAAAAACAAACAAACACAATTAAGATAAATTAATTTAACTTTAATTTATATAAAATAGGTCTTTGTCCAGCAAAAGAGCACAACATAATATTGTTGATATCATTATCCTCATCATCATCATCACTCTTTACATGTATATTAGTTTGGCTAGTGTGAGTCCTCGACCTGCTTGGACTCTCAGCAACTATAATACACCATAAAAATCATGAAATGGTCTCTTCAACATAGGTATCATTAAAAAGATACACTGAGAGGCTAATCATCTACAAATGCTCTTTCTTTCTTCTTACTTAAATACAAATAGGCTCCAGGCCTTTTTAATTAGTATACTGATATACTGAATAACTGGTAAATAAGCAATTAAGAGGTTATATTTGAGTTTGCCATTCAGGTTGTTCTGTTATCTTCTTAAATAGGAAACAGAATATAGTACAAACACCAGAAAGGATCCATGAACAAATATGAGCAATACTTTTGGGGAAAGCAAACTAAATAAATAAAATGACAGCATATTAATTTTAAAAAATCATACAAATTTATCTTTTAGCTGTTCTTTCTCAAACATGCTTAATTCCTTCATTACACTTCCTTTCTTCTTTATCTATCTTCCTTTCATAATCGTTCTTACTTTCTTGCAGAATTCCATATATCCAATCATTTTCACTTTCATTCAGCTCTTACACTTCCAATATGAACTCCTAATAAACGTCTTCTTCACACGCTGCCACAAACCATCTTTAAGTCTTAAGAGCAAAAAAAAACATTCCATATCTACTGAAGTATTTTACTGACTTAAGCCTTATTTGGACAATAATTGTTTATCATATTGTCACAATATTTTCATATTCCCCAGGGGAACAATTACCATCTGAATAGGGCTTTACCCTTTTTTTGACAATGATTTTCACCATGTTTCCTGCCACAGAAAAAGTGGCCAATGTGACAACAAAATACTTTTTTGCAACAGCGTAAACTATGATTAAATAGCACGAGGAACATAAAGTATGCAAAGCCAAATAAATAATAATATTTGAACAAATAATAAGGATAATAGTCAGCACATCTAGTGCAGGAGTACTGCATTCTTGGAAGACTACATTCATTATAGTCAAGCTGTCCTCGAATGCAGCACTCCACCTCTTTAAACTCTTTACAATACTGTTTTATAGATCCATCTTCAGCATAAATCTCCAGTTTAGATCTTGATCTATCTGAAGAAAGCACATATAGCACCGGTGCCTGAGATGTTTCGACGTGCCCCTCAGCAAGCTTGTAGCAGTGTGGGCCCAGGTTGGTACGGGTCAACCAGAACCTTGTAGCGGATCTTGGTGTTGGTGATTGCGCCGTGTTTCTGTCTCAGGTGAAGCCTCAGCTGGCTCTTATGACGGAAGTGCAGGTGACATTTCTCACACTGGAAGAAAAGATTAGAGCAGTAGTGTGTGTAGTTGTGTATATATATATTAGATATTAAAATATACGAGTTAAAATATAACTGACGCTGTAAGGCTTCTCTCCAGTGTGGATGCGCAGGTGGCTCTTCAGCGTCTGCAGGTGGCGGAAACGTGTTCCGCAGGTGTTACATGGGTACGGCTTTTCCCCAGTGTGGATCAGAACATGGGCACGCAGGTGAGCTACCTACAACACACATACACATTTTACAAGAATATCATTTTAGTTTAACTCTTTTTATTGATGCTTTTCAAAAATAGAGATAAAAAAGACAATAAATCAGCATTTGTTTATTTGTTTTGACATATATGTATGCATTTGTGTGTGTGTGTGTGTGTGTGTGTGCATAAATAAATAAATTATTTAATAATAAATTATTGTCCCAATTATTGCTTTATTATACTGTGTATATATATATATATATATATATATAAGAAGGATACATGCAATTCTGTGCAGATGTACCTGGACAAATCTGGCTCCGCATGTGTCGCAGCGGTAGGGCTTTTCTCCAGAGTGGATGCGGGAATGAGTCTTTAAATTTGCAGGCCGGTTGAACTGTGCTCCACACACATTACAGCGGTAAGGCTTGTCTCCTGAGTCAGCGGGAACATAAAAGAGTGAAATGAATGAGAACGATTTAAACAAACTAAGTGACTGTGCCTTACAAATCGCAACTGGAAGTGAACTTAATTTGTAAGTAAGTTCAGCCAACATTATCTGTTGAGTCAGCAGCCTCACCTGAGCAGGAAGGTTTTGTGTTTGTGGCTTGGTTTCCAGGGTAACTGAGCTGTGTAGAGAGGTTCTTGAACTTGATTGGGTGTTGGCCCAGTAAATGACTCTGATTGGCAGTTTGGGTGCAAACATAAGGACTGCAGAGACCTTTTAAAAATGAAGAGGATGAAATGAAGAGGATCAGATCAGTCTGTGTATTTTTGTACGCACGTGTAGCCTATTCATAGTAAAGCTAAGAGATGCTCACTGACCTTTATTCTCACTGATTGAAAGGGGCAGGGGCTGCAAACTGCTGTCCACAACATGATGGGGACTAAAGTATATTTTTTGCTGTGATGTGTTATTTGGAAGAGACAAGGTTTTCCTTGAGGAAACAGAACAATGGTTAATACATTACATTGAAAATTACATTCCTACATAACAATACATAATTAATCAGTTACATCAGAAGTTCTTTAATCGATTAAGTGAAAAGGGACAAAACATACCTGTTATTCAGTCCAGGCTCCTCCCCTGTCCAAATGTTATTTGTTGTTTTAGATGAGGCTTCCATCTTATCACTGGCAAAGGGGGTGTGGCTTTGTGCTTGCCGCTCCTCTCCAGGCCCCTCCTCCTTTATAGGTGTGGCACACAGAGGGTTGAGGACAATATACTTGTACTTCTTCCAGTTACAGGCCTTTGGGTCAGGAGTAGGCTTGGAATCAGATCGCTTCTGTAAGGATGAAATATTGAAATTAGTGAATACTAATTTATTTAGGCTCAGCAAAACATTGAAGATTTCCATTGAAGCATTAAGAAATAAATATTTAATGCAGTCGCTATGGATTGGAAGCACACATATGGCTACATACACACAACCGTTCAAAAGTTTGGGGTCGGTAAGATGTTTTTTATAAGGCTTTTTTGAAAGTAGTCTCTTATGTGCACCAAGGTGTTTATTTGATCAGAAACACAGCAAAAACTATAATATTGTGAAAATATTATTAAAATTTAAAATACCTGTTTTCTATTTTAATATATTTTAAAATGTAATTTATTCCAGTGATGGCAAAGTTGAATTTTCAGCATCATTACTCCAGTCTCTAGTGTCACATGATCCTTCAGAAATCATTCTATTATGCTGATTTGCTGCTCAAGAAACATTTCTTATTATTATTATTAATGTTGAAAACAATTGTGCTACTTAATATTATTGTGGAAACTGTTTCTTTTTTTGCAGGATTCTTTGATGAATAGAACATTGAAAAACAACAGAATTTTTTTGAAAATATTTTGTAATCAATTTAGATCAATTTGCATGCATCCTTTCTGATTACAAA